AAAATCTCTTGTAAGAATTCGTGTTGGACAACAAATATCATGTTACCGTCCTATTATTTTGACAAAAACTCAAAAATTGGATTGAAACTTTACGGTAAACGTTATAATTGGAGCGCGCATTTATGAAAGGTGAAAAAAGAAACATTTATTTGGCGGGTTCTTTATTTTGCAGGCCGCCAAAGCTTTGAAAGTTCCCGCCAACGGTTCACATGCTTCTCGCTCATTTTGGGTTTATTATTACAAGGCAGAGCCAAGTATCTGGATCAAAGGAGAGAAGATAGAAGAGTTTGAGACCAAAACGGCACTACGAAGCTTTGTCCTCCTTCTTCTAAGGCTTTGCTCTTGTATAATATCTGCCAGTGTGTCTATCTAGTGATATTGAACAATTACTGTGGGCCTTTTGGCCTCACCGATTTTTTACTTCAGATTCAGAAAAATGGGTTCTGCGGCTCTGTTGGACAGCTTACCTCCCGATACTGGTAAATTTTCATCATTCCTCACTTACTGTTGTATTTTTATGCATATACCTATGGATAGAGAAGTATATATGCACGCACGGGGTATGTTAATATATACATTGTATATTTGGATTCATGGTGGACAAGCGAGTACTTCTGGAATTGACGAATCTGATTGGAATCTCTCTCATTTTAATACTAGTCTAGTAGCTATTGTTTTAAGTTACTCCTATATGGGTTAACTTTCTGTTCAACTATATAGTATTTTGACACTCCTTTGGTTGTTATTTCAAGCTGGTGGGCTCTTTTTGGAATAGAAGAGAGACTTAGTAAGATCAACCTGAAATACATGGGGGTAGGGTTTTGTAATTCTTTCTTTGCCCGTCAATTGAAATCCAATAAGATCTAATACGACTAATGCAGACTTTGTTGAGGTGGGTTACGTGGTAAAATTTATTTTTGTGAGGGTAATTTTGGTTTTGCAGAAAAATTAGGGATTTAAGAGTTAATTGGTGTGTGAATAAATGGCTAGATGCTTAGCCCAAAGCTACGATTCTTCAAAGTTTGCTGTCATTGGGCTATACCAGGTATCCGTCTGCCATTCAGTTAGCCTTTTTAAGAGACTTTAAATGGATTCATTCAATTTGAATGGCATAAGCAAACCCAAAAATTTTTAGAAAAAGAAACGAAAAAACTTAGCAATTTTGGGGCTTTCATTCGAATGATTAAGTTGTCACATTAGTCTGTCTGGCACATTGTGATTGTTGAGGTGTACTATGCATCCTCAACAAGCTTCTGCCTTGTTTTTGATTCCCTACCGATTTCATTCAGCACATCACGTGTTTCTAACAATTGTAATTTTCTGGTGTGCTGTAGTCCTTATGATGAGGCACTCTCAAGAACCATTCACTGCTGATTTATACTCTGAATTGCTGCATGCTCGGCCATTTTTTTCAGTTTTGCCTTTTGTTCTCCTGATGGTCTGTATCATCCCTTTCTTTTGTTAATTGATATATTAGGAAAAATACATGACACTTAATTCCATCACTTTTCTTATATTATCTATATCTCCCCCCCACATCATATATTTAGTGGCCTGTCATGTAGTGTTCTGACTTCAGCACTCTGTGGGGTGTCAGTGAGATTCCATTGTTTAATATCAAGCCCTTGTATCAACGTACCCATTTTTTTTCTTTTGTTTGACATAGGTGTGAAGAAGAACAAGAATAAACCAAAATCTGCGGCAATTAAGCAGGTTGTTGCCGCTGGCCAAAAAGAAAGGAAGAGAAGTGTTTTTGATAGTGATGATCAGAAGCCTGCTGGTTCTAGCAAAAGGCCAAAGCGAGCTGCTGCCTGTCTGGATTTCAAGGAGAAATCAGTCCATATATCTGAAAAATCCTCAGTTATTGAAATAAAACAGGACCAATATGCTGGGGAAGAGGCTGTAGCTATACGACTTACTGCTGCACAAGATGATGGCCGACCATGTCGTAGACTTACAGATTTCATCTTCCACAATTCCGAGGGAGTACCACAGCCCTTTGAAGCGTTGGAAGTTGATGATGTTTTTATCTCTGGCCTTTTATTGCCTCTTGAAGAAAGTTCAGAAAAAGGAAAAAACAATGGTGTCAGATGTGAAGGCTTTGGTCGCATAGAAGAATGGGCAATATCTGGTTATGAAGATGGATCTCCAGTGGTATGGGTGTCAACTGATATTGCTGATTATGATTGCTTCAAACCTTCTAGCAGTTACAAGAAGTTTTACGATCATTTCTTTGCCAAGGCTTTTGCATGTATTGAGGTTTACAAGAAACTGTCAAAATCTTCTGGGGGGAATCCTGACTCAACCCTTGATGAGTTGCTTGCAGGAATTGTCCGTGCAATGAGTGGAATGAAGTGCTTCTCTGGTGGTGCATCTATCAAGGATTTTATCCTATCGCAGGGTGAGTTTATTTATAACCAACTTATAGGTTTGGATGAGACAACCAAACAGAATGATCAGTCATTTGTTGAGCTACCTGTTCTTGCTGTCCTAAGAGATGAGAGCAGCAAGCGTAGGGATTCTGCACAAGAAAATTTAGGATCCTCAGGAAGGAATTTAACAATAGGTCCCAAAACAAGAGATGAAGAAAAGAAAAAGAAAGAAAGTGGTTCATTGTTTCCATCAGAGGAAGATGATGTAAAACTGGCGAGACTGTTGCAAGAAGAAGAATACTGGCATTCAATGAAGCAGAAGAAAACACAGGGCTCAGCCTCTTTGTCAAGCAAATACTACATAAAGATCAATGAGGACGAGATTGCCAGTGACTATCCTCTCCCTGCATATTACAAGACATCTAACCAAGAAACAGATGAGTATATAGTCTTTGACACCGATATTGATACCTGTTACACTGATGAATTGCCTCGAAGCATGCTTCATAACTGGGCGCTATACAACTCAGACTCTAGGTTGATTTCCTTGGAACTTCTTCCAATGAAACCGTGTGCTGACATTGATATGACCATATTTGGGTCTGGGGTAATGACTGCTGATGATGGAACTGGATTCCATTTTGACACCAATGCTAATCTTTCTTCCTCTAATGGTTCTGTGCCACCTGAAGTTGATGGGATTCCTATATATTTGAGTGCGATAAAGGAATGGATGATAGAATTTGGGTCCTCAATGGTCTTCATATCAATACGTACGGATATGGCCTGGTACACTACATCTACTCTCTTCCTATAAGTGCATATTTGTTTTGTTCAAATGTTATCTTTTTATACTGTTTAAAAGACTCCAGATGGCCCTTTTGATTAATATATCGTCACCAGTCATAGTAGAAAGTTCAGCCAATTCAACCAAGACTTATCTCATCTACCATGTAAGGATTGCAAGGTTATTCTAGGGGAGATCATTACAACGTTACATAGACTAATCCTCAAATGTATACATTAAAAATTGTTCAAATTGAGAAAAGAGATTAGAAGCACAGGGCAACATCAGTGGCAGGAGAACTGTACTACTAATCTGCTGTCGGTTACTTTCTCAGGGCTCTGCAGGATGGTAAAGAAGAGACATGGAATACAAGATTAAACTATTGCAATGAGGAATACATTTAAACAAATACCAATAAAAATTCTTGGAGAATCAAAAGGTAATTGAACGGTAGCTAAAGAACTTAGTGTTGTAATTATACAAGTTCAAACTATAGTGAAAACAAAAAGAAGCATGTCTTCAAACATTGCAGAAACTTAGAAATGCAGAAAGTTTTTTCTTCTGATTCTTAGATCTCTCCACGCGATGAGTGTGTGAGCTTGTACCACATTGATAAATACATGCGCGCCAAAGTAGTACATGAGCCTTTTGGGCATCCATTCATTGTTAAGTGGTTTTGAGTTCAATGTTTTAACAGTCAATCTTTGAGATATACTTATGAGAAGGTTAGGTGAAGCATATGCCAATGATTTTAATATATTTAGTATAGTCTGAGATAAAATTAAATGTTTCAAGAAATTTTTTAGGCAGCAGTGCTATTTATTATTGTTTATTGAGTGTGCAATTCGAAAGCTTTTTGTATGATGACGAATCCTGTTAGATATTTTGCATCAGGCGTCAATGGTGTTAGTTTCTTTAATTTTCTGCAGGTACAGGCTTGGTAAGCCAACAAAGCAATATGCTCCATGGTATGAACCAGTTCTGAAAACAGCAAGACTTGCCATTAGTATCATTACTTTGTTAAAAGAGCAGAGTCGAGTGGCACGGATGTCTTTTGCGGATGTCACAAAGAGAGTTTCCGAGTTTAAAAAGGATCATCCCGCTTACATTTCATCAAATACAGAGGCAGTGGAGAGATATGTGGTTGTCCATGGACAGATAATTCTGCAGCAGTTTTCAGAATTTCCTGATGAGAAGATCATAAAGTGTGCATTTGTGATTGGTCTAACCAAAAAAATGGAAGAAAGGCATCATACTAAATGGCTCGTGAAGAAGAAAAAGGTTGTCCACAGGAATGAACTTAATTTAAATCCAAGAGCAGCAATGGCATCAGTGGTATCCAAGAGGAAGGCAATGCAGGCATCTACAACAAGGCTAATCAATAGAATTTGGGGAGAATACTATTCAAATCATGCGCCTGAAGATTCAAAAGAGGGACTTAGTTGTGATGCAAAGGAGGAAGACGAAGCTGAAGATCAAGATGAAAATGAAGAGGATGATGCTGAGGAGGAGAAATTAGTATCTTCTTTGAAAACCCATGCACCTCCCTCAGCATCAAGACGAATTAAACCATGTTCTGTGAGCAAGGAAATAAGATGGGACGGGGAGTCTGTGGGTAAAACTTCTTCAGGAGATGCTCTATTTAAACAAGCCATTGTTCATGGAAAAGTAGTTGTGGTGGGAAGTGCTGTTTTGGTAGAAGGTGATGAATCAGAAGTACTTCCGACTATCTATTACGTGGAGTACATGTTTGAAAAATTGGATGGAAGTAAAATGTTTCATGGAAGAATGATGCAACGAGGGTCGCAAACCATCCTTGGAAATACAGCTAATGAGAGGGAGGTGTTTTTGACAAATGAATGCATGAATTTTGAACTGGAGGATGTTAGTCAAACAGTTGTTGTGGATTTAAGGTCAATTCCCTGGGGACATCAGCATAGAAAAGCTAATGCCAATGCTGATAAAATTAATAGAGCAAGAGCAGAAGACCAAAAGAAAAAAGGATTGCAAATTGAATATCATTGTAGAAGTTTGTATTGGCCAGAGAAAGGCGCTTTCTTTAGTATTCGTCTTGATACAATGGGTGTTGGGTCAGGTTTCTGCCATTCTTGCACAATAAAGAAAGTTCATAGTGATAAGGAAATTTTTAAGGTAAATGCTTCTGAGACAGGTTTTGTATACAAGGGCACTGAGTATGTAGTTCATGATTTTGTTTATGTGAGCCATCATTCCTTCAGTGCAGAAAGGTTGGAGAATGAAACTTTTAAGGGTGGCAGAAATGTGGGATTGAAGGCATATGTGGTATGTCAGCTGCTTGAAATTGTTGTCCCCAAGGTACTTAAACAAACTACAGCAAAATCTACCCAGGTTAAAGTCAGAAGATTTTTTAGACCGGAGGTTATTTCAGCTGATAAGGCATACAGTTCTGATATACGAGAGGTAGGATCCACAAAAAAAAAAGGAAATATTCCTCTATGTGGTACTTTTGTATGCATTTACACCTGATTTATTACTGATTTGAATTCACCAATAAATGATTAACTTGATATAGTGTTGCCAATTGTACATTGTTCTTCTTTACAAAATTCAATCACTTGTTTACCAAAAGATTTATTGGGTGGCATCTGCAGATCTATTATAGTGAAGAAATACATATTCTGTCTGTTGAGACACTTGAAGGGAGATGTGAGGTCAGAAAGAAGCATGAACTTCCATCGCATGATGTCCCTGCACTTTATGAACATATTTTCTTTTGTGAACATTTATATGAACCTTCTAAAGGGTCTGTCAAGCAGGTACTCTCTCTGCCTTGTCCAGTATTACATTTTGATTGCTATTGCTTTTCCTGTTCAAGGCACTATTTGCTCAGATTAGTATCATTGCATAAGCTACTTTCTTCCTGCAAAATTTCTTTAACCATGTATTTCATTCACTTAACAAATCTTTGCATTAGTGAACTCCACCTCGATTGCTTGCAAAATTTCGCCATACTGGATTCTGAATTTTCTTCCACTCTCATTTCTGAACAGTTGCCATCTCACATCAAGTTAAGGTACTCAACTGGGAAGGCGGATGATGCCACTTCTAGGAAGAAAAAGGGAAAATGTAAAGAAGGTGAAAATGATGTTGATGTGGAGAAATTAAAGGCAGCTCGTTTGGCCACTCTAGATATTTTTGCTGGTTGTGGTGGCTTGTCTGAGGGTTTGCAGCAGTCAGGTGACATCCAATCTCTCCATTTAACTGTCATCGTCCAACCAAATTCTATGATCACACTTATTATGCATTCATTTGATGATTGATCACCTGCTGCTTCCAACCCTGCAGGTGTCTCCATTACTAAGTGGGCAATTGAATATGAAGAGGCAGCTGGAGATGCATTTAAACTTAATCACCCAGAGTCTTTGATGTTTATCAATAACTGCAATGTGATTCTAAGGTGAACTCTTTTAACAGTTACAATCTCTCTCTCTCTCACACACACACGCACACAAATTTAGAGGAATCCTCAAATGGGTTATGATGCAGGGCTGTCATGGAGAAGTGTGGAGATGCAGAGGACTGTATATCAACACCAGAGGCTGCTGAATTAGCCACAAAACTTAGTGAGACGGAGGTTGATAATTTGCCAGTGCCAGGACAGGTGGATTTTATCAATGGAGGGCCTCCATGTCAGGTTTGTTTAGCTTCCTGCTTGTTTTCAATGAACACCTGGGATTAAATGCCTTGAGAATTTTAGTGGACCTACAGTTGGATATGATGTAATTTTTTTCATGCAGGGCTTCTCTGGAATGAACAGGTTTAACCAAAGTACTTGGAGTAAAGTTCAGTGTGAGATGATTTTGGCATTCTTATCCTTTGCAGACTATTATCGACCTAAGTTCTTCCTCCTTGAGAATGTGAGGAACTTTGTATCTTTCAACCATGGACAGACATTTCGTTTAACTCTAGCTTCACTTTTGGAGATGGGTTATCAGGTATATGCTGCTGTATTGGAACGAGGATGATATTTTGAACTGTCATGTCATCTACATCTTTGGAATTATTTATTTTACCTGGATTTTGCTTTTGTTAGGTGCGGTTTGGTATCCTTGAAGCTGGAGCATATGGAGTTCCTCAGTCTAGGAAGCGAGCATTCATATGGGCAGCAGCTCCAGAAGAGACACTCCCTGAATGGCCAGAGCCAATGCATGTTTTTGCTGCACCGGAGCTGAAAGTTTCATTGTCTGAAAATCTGCAGTATGCTGCTGTACGGAGTACTTCAACTGGAGCCCCATTTCGTCCAATCACTGTTAGAGATACTATTGGGGATCTCCCAGCTGTGAGCAATGGGGCATCTAAGACAAGTTTAGAGGTGCTTAAATTGCTTATCCTTCCAGGCGCAAGAATAAAAAATAGTATTTGTGAAGAAATTGCCTCTTTGGATAGATATGCAATCCAATCATTTGCTCATGTTATCTTATTTTTCACTTCCAGTATCAAAGTCACCCAAGCTCGTGGTTTCAAAGGAAAATTCGAGGGGGCATGGTGGTCTTATCCGATCACATATCAAAAGAAATGAATGAGCTCAATCTGATTCGTTGTCAGAGAATTCCAAAGCGCCCAGGTGCTGACTGGCGTGACCTTCCTGATGAAAAGGTATTAATATAACCAGATTACACGGTTGTGCTTTCTAAGTCCAGAGCTTCGGTTATATTCTATGGAGTTTAAGAGTTCTGTATCTTATCGTTACCTTTCGCTTATTCAAATACAGGTTAATTTGTTTACTGGGCAAGTGGTTGATCTGATACCGTGGTGTCTTCCGAATACGGCCCAGAGGCATAATCAGTGGAAGGGGCTATTTGGTAGGTTGGATTGGGAGGGAAACTTTCCAACTTCCATTACAGACCCGCAGCCAATGGGTAAGGTGGGGATGTGCTTTCACCCTGAGCAAGACAGGATTGTTACAGTTCGTGAATGTGCCCGTTCTCAAGTAAGTGCCATTTTGACGGTCTGTTTAATCATTGTTGATTATATTGTCAGCATCATCAGTAAACGACATATTGTTTCTTTTTTGATACGAGGGAATAAATTGAAACCGGTTTTTCTGGTCTTGTGAATTAATTAGGACATGAAGTTTTGGTTTTACGTATGGGGAAAAGGTTTGGGTTAATGACAACAATAGAAGAAATTTGATAACAAAAAAGTCCGGGAAATGGTTAGTTTGTAGTCAATTTGGAACTAGATGGCATAATTGTCGGAAGCCATGAAACAAGCAATGATAGACTGACTGATGTGTTTACTATGGTGAGTTTGTTGTCTAACTCTATGCTAGATTATGTTTATCAAGGAATATGATTGTTCAAAAGTTTTTGGGGACCAATAAATATTTGACATTGTAATGGTGTTCTAATTTTGTGAAGTTCCAACTTGATGCTTTCATTTCTTCAGAAGTGGGCAATCATAGTAGTGATTAATGCTTTATTTGGTATGATAGAAAATAGAAAGATGAAAAATTAAAAAAATAGATAAAATATTATGTTTGGTAAAAAAAAAAAAAATAGGAAGGATGGAAAAATAGATGGATTAATTTTTCTTATAACTCACTAAAATTAATTTTTCTAAATTTAAGAGAAAAAGTGGATAAAAAATTAATTATGTGTATTAAAATGTATGTTATTTTATTCATATCTTTTAATATATGTATATATTATATTTATTTATTACATATTATATATACATTAAATTTGTATATAAATATAATTAAAAAAATATGTATTCATATTTTTTTCGTTATTCTATTTTTTCATTCTACCAAATACAAAAAAATCAATCTTTTTTATTTTTTATGTCTTTTACTAAACACAAACGAGGGAAAGAAGGATTTTTTCTTTGAAGGATAAAAAGTGTATTAATCTCATTTTTCATTTATTTATTTTTTTATTTACCAAACTATACACGCCATAAGATTAAATATCAAAAACCTGGTTGAGTATGTATACTACCCCGGGATGATCTTTTCCAATTGGGCAAAAATAAGTGGAAGTACTGCCCCATCCCCGTAGTTACCAACTATATACAATTTTAGGGAAACCTTGGTTCATTTTTCAGAAGATTGTTTTGAGATCAATTTCAATCCATCAATGCAGGGTTTCCCAGATAGCTATCAATTTGCTGGTAACATTCTACACAAGCACAGGCAGATTGGTAATGCTGTTCCTCCTCCTTTAGCGTATGCACTGGGGAGGAAACTCAAGGAAGCGGTTGAGACTAAGAAGTCTTCTTAGCAAGTCTAGTCCTTTCTTTTGCCGGAATTGCCAGGAGGACCAATTTTAAAAGCTAGTAACATTTGAGGATGATTTGAAGCGGACTTATTTTATTGTTCTCGGAAGCCAAAGAGTAAAATATGTAAATAAGGCTTGTGATTGTTTTCTTGGCAATCACAACATTTTGGAAATTTGGATAGGTGTTTGGTGTATGAGGATTCACAATATGTCAATATGGATCATAAAATCTTACGATCTTGTGAAATGATATGGACAAATTGATTTGAATTTTTTACAAATTCTTCATAAAATCTTAATAGATCATGATTTAGATTTTATAGGGTTGTGGTATCCCAATTTGAGGTGTGATTTTATATATTCAAGTTGGATTTTTGTTAGCTGGGGTGGAGCTAGAGTTCTCAAAAAGTGGGGGTAACATACAACTTATAAATACTTTTAAATTTTCTAGTATCTCCATTGTTTCCACAAAACAACTAATCAATAATACTTTTAATTACAATTTTACTAAAAAAATTGCCAATTAGGAGCGTAACTTGTATAGATTGGGATGTATAAATGAGCAAATAGAAAAAATGGGAATTGTAAGGGGTACAATAAATTGGACTTAAAAGTCAAAAAGTACACGATTTTTAATGTTAGATAATTAAGTCTTTTTTTTTTAGAACTTAATTGTGTCTAAGTATACAATTTGACTTTTTTTGATTTTTTTTTTTAACATATTTGTCTTCCTTTAAATAATAATTTCTTTTTTAGGAAGTTAAGATGAGTTTTGATTTTATTTTATTGTATTAAAGATTTCCTAATATTATAGTAGATCTCCTTAAAACATGTGTTTTTTAGGTAGTTAAGTTGAGTTTTGATTTTATTTTATTGTATTAAAGACTTCATAATATTATGGTAGATTTATAACATTTCATTTATTGTGTGTATCTCAATCATTTTTTTTTTTGAACGTTATCTCAATCATTTTTGAATTTTAAATTTTTTCACATTATCGTTGGTTCTCTTCTTTTTCTTCAAAATACAAGCCATTATCATTTGGAAAAGTTCAAACATAACATTATTCTTATTCTCCAAAGTCATTATTAGGTTTGAATTTATGCCTTTATTAAGTTTTGTTTAATTTTTTCGTTCATAGTCCTCGTAATTATTTCGGTTTTTTTTCATAGTTATTTAGTTGATCTAGGAGCACCATAGTGAATGGTGTCTTATTGTATCCTGCTGTTTCTTTTTTTTTTTTTCCTCAGTTCTTTTGTTTTTGTTGGTTACCCACCCATGCACAGACGTGACCTCATGGATTTTTTTTTCCAGTTTTTTTTTTTTTGGAACATAATTTTTTTTCCCAGTTTGACGTTGTTGTTGTTCACAAGCTTCCTATTTGTCGATGGCCACACTGTTATGTTACATTGTGTGGTCCACAGAAGGTACATGAAATATTTTCCATTAGATATGTCCCTCGCGTTTTTAATTGGGAATTGTTTCACATGATTCATTCATAAACAATAATACGAGGCACTGAGTTGTTATACCGTGGGAAACATGTTGTATGAATCTGTGTGCGTAGTTGTTGCACTAATTAAGCTACACAATCTTTGCTATACTTTAAACAACCATCAAATACACTTAGAATTAATCTAATTTCTATTTTGAAAATGATTTCATTTGATTCATCCATAAACATAAAGATGTAACGCTTGACACATTTAAACACATTTGACGAATCTGACACATTGACTTGATACATTGTTTTTTTCCAAGCTATATTGTCAACATTATAAAATCCTGAATAATCTAGTTAATTTTCTAAACATTCACCAGATACCAAAAGATTCTATAAAGAAGTTCAAAATTCATAATTTATGGTTTAATAATGTTCAACTTAACGATTAAAATACATATGGAATAGTTGTTCATTTGTCCACAAATTTTTTCTTTAGTTCTCGTCGTAATTTCAAATTTTTTCAGTCTAAGACTTTGGATGGTTAAGGAAAATCTTCAAATCTTTTCAATCCAAGAATTTGGATGGTTCAGGAAAATCTTCAAATCTTCTTCAGTCCCTCTTTCACATATGATGGCCCCACATTTTGCTCTAACGCGGATTCTCTACGTCGGAGTTTGTATTTGGTTGTAGATGACTTTATTTTTCTCTCCATGGATTCTAAAGAAAGTTATAAACAACACATGTTATTTAGAAATACAGTTAGAGTGTATTATCCATGTATATTAATACAATTAACCATGACAGTGTAACGATATACTTACACGAGATACTATAATGTAACAATGTTTCAAAACATAGTTTTGAATATGAATCCATTTTAACAGTACAATTATATTTTAATTTAGTACTGCAATCACAAAAAAATGTTTGAACCCAACCACTGATTGAGAAGCAACAATGAAATGTTAAAATTGGAAACATATGTTCAACTAAGATATTTATGATCAATGTTCTAGGAAAAAAACACCACCAAGCAAAAAAAAAAAAGTAGACATGACTAACTAGGGTTTGAAGTTATATGCACCGCAACCTAGGGTTTAAAAATTAAATAGTTTTGGGAATTTGCCTAAAAACAAAAGTTTACCAATACAATAACATAAGACACTTTTTATTTTATCGACTCCATTGTATCTATTAATTTTATATCCACATTCAAATTTCAAAAAAAATCTAATTTGCCTAAGCCAAAAAGAACAAAAGAAACCAAATCAAAATCATTTTTTTGATTCGAAGTATAAATAATGATCTTAGAAGCATTAGAGCCATAAAACACCACCAAACTAAAACAAAAATCCGTTGCTTACTGTATGTTATGCAAACACTGTTGTTTGTAGGGTGCCAAAATTATAAAATTACTTATTGAAATTTCTGATATTATATAACTTAAAATAAAATACAACAGTAAGTGTGAACTGTAGAATAGTTACTCAAAACGAAACAGGTACAGTAAAGAGTTACATATAAACTTTTTGCAAAACTAATATAAAACTAACCCGGTTGCAGAACAGGAACTGTTATTGAACTTTTGATAGATCAAGGCTAGTGTTTGACACTATGTCCTTAAGACAGATTTCGTCCCCACACACGGTGCTTATGGAATATCGAGCGTCTGCCTCCCAGGATATAATAATCTTTACACGAACAGAAGTAGCACTCTAATCTGCTCATCCAGCGAACCAATATTGTGTTGTGTACTCTCTCTAAATGCACTGCCTTAATGTCGAAATGCAGACTGTTTAATGCCTTAACGGACTAATTGTTTTTAATAAAAAATGAATGCATGAACTGAGTATTTATAGATAGTCTGGTGACTGTTTGGACAAACACTACACTAAAGGACACAACCCAGAAACGGAAACTGATCAGCCAGTAGACACCTTATCCGACCCAATGGGTACCAAAAATTAATTTCGATTTAGAAATTCTCACCCATTAATTAAATGAATTTTATCCAAAAAGATAGGGCTTGACCACACCCACACCCACACCCGAGCCCCGCCGTGGTCATGGCGAGGTAAGGCCGGCGGGTGTGGTTGAACCGAAGGCATGTAGGTGCTCACTCTGCTCATAAAACTCTGGTACCCCTTGGGACCCAATCTCATAGAGCAAACTTGACTTACATATGCCCATGTTGAATTTCTTCCTCAACCAATGTGAGATTAGTGTCGCATCCTATATTGTACTTCCTTTATTTTCACATTTCAAGAGGGTCACTTTGGAGCCTATTTTCTCATTCATTTTTTACTCGATTTGAGCATGTGAATATATTACATTATTCTCCTCACACAGTAGAATATGAACCCACGAAATTTTATTCAAAATAACAATCGGGTCCCACTTTAATTTAGGCTCAAAATCGACCAAAACTCAGTTTTTACACTTAAAAACTGTTTTGGTCTAACAATCCCCCACATTAATGAAAATTTAGCTGTTAGTATGCAAATGATAATGCTGACACACTATATAGAGTACATCTTTGAAAAGATCGTGTATCGAGATAGGTAGCTTTTGACCTTGAACCTTCCCTAGTGAAAGCCCATTGGACTTACCGGCTAAATAGTGAACGTGATGTCTTGAACTATTCAGTTGCTTGATAAATCAGATCGAATATACTTCACACATTCTCTTTCCTAACACAATTGGTTCTCATGATTGTATTCATTTTGACCCTGAACAACTCCTGGTTTTCATGGGTGCTTTAGAGAATTTAGTCTTTACAAATTCTCATAGAAGCGGCCCCTTCACACCCATATAGGTGACTCCTATTAGGAATATCCTGTAATATTCCACTTGAATTTACCAAGGTATAAAAGTCATTAAAAGCATAGCTTACCCTAATAAACTCTGCAGGCAGCACTAGGTTATCATAGGAATAGGTAGGAGAGATTATCTCCTTAGTGCTTCTTTTGAATCACCCATAATTTGGTTGTTCCTTTGAACCTAGATCTTGAGATCTCCAATCAACTAGATTGGGTTGCCATTAAGGTGACTCTTGTGTCATAGGCTTTAATTCCATTCCCCTCGATGTGCAATTTATTTGCTCTCTTGTCAAACTTTTAGTAAGCGGATTCGCTAGATTATCCTTTGACTTTATATAATCAATGAAAATAATCCCATTTGAGAGCAATTGCCTAACGATATTATGTCTATGACGTATATGTCTAGACTTACCATTATACATATCACTCTGTGCCCTACCAATTGTAGATTGGCTATTGCAATATATACAAATTACTGACACAGGTTTAGACCATACTGGAATATCCTCTAGAAATTGGCGAAGCCACTCATCTTCCTTTTTTGCTTCATCTAAAACAATAAATTCAGATTCCATTGTGGATCTGGCAATACACGTTTTCTTAGAGGATTTCTAAGATACAGCTGCACCACCAAGTGTAAAAACATAACCACTTGTGGATTTTGTATCCTTCATATCAGATATCCAGTTTGCATCATTATACCCTTCAAGTACAATTGGATATCTTGTATAGTGCAATCCAAACTTCAGGGTATATCTTAAGTATCTAAGAACCCTGATAATTGCCTTTCAATGGTCTACTCCCGGATTACTTGTATATCTACTCAATTTACTAATTGAGTATGCTATATCTAGTCTAGTGCAGTTCATAACATATATTAGAATTCCAATAATACAAGAGTATTTCAATTGTAATATGCTTTGGCCAGTATTTTTAGACAAATAAAGAATTATATCAACTAGTGTTCTAGCAATGTTACTTTCATCTTTGTCA